GGGGCTGAGGCCAATGAAAAACAGCAGTTGGAACAGAACATCTCCTCTGCAGATCCTGCAGTTGATGGTGACTGTTCTCCTGGCTTTAAATTAACCTCTAGTGTTGTTCCCCACACCCCCACTGATTTGTGATGAGGGGTCTTTGGTCCTATTGACCTTGTACAGTTCTAGGCATTCCAGGATCCATGTCAGGGACATTGACTCACAGACAATGTTCCCTCTAATTTTTCATGTGCCTGAGCAAACACACAAACTCCCTGAGCGGACCACTGTGAGCAACAGCAGATGTGTGCACTCTGGTCACGCCAGCATCAAATCCATCCAAGTTTATTTATTACAGTGGTTCCCAAACTTTTTTTGCTCAGCCACCTTTGCTTTACAAGAAAATCTTTGTGCTATCAATGCATTTTTCAAAAAAATGCTTCTCTGTGCAAAACATGCTCACGATGCAGGGGGATTAAAATTTTGTTGGGGATACCTACCTTGGTACCACCGCTGTGCAGGTGAAGCCAGTGTGCTTGGACACGTTGCAGAGGAGATTTTTTCTTTGGGTTTTTGACCACCCTGAGTCTTGGGTTGACGTAACATCTTGTTGCTATGCCACCTTAAATTGGTCATGTGATTGGTTTACCACAACTTCTTTATTATTCCTCAGCTAATCTGTCCACACCACATTTTCTTCTTAGTAACGGCGATGTAACAATAGAAATAATAATTATTAGAGTGTCTTCACTCCACATCGGCCACACCGCTTTGCTAGCTAAAACACGGGTGTCGGCATATAAGGACGCAATCATAACCACTGTGGTCTTCAGGACTTTGAGATATAAAAAGTATATTTACGTGGATTCACCTTTGTTTGCACCATTTTGTTATCAGCGGTTGCATCTGTGCATGCCAAAGAGAAAACTTTCATAATAACAGCTGGATACTGAGCTGACTCTACCTGCCTCTCGCATGTAGCACAAGCGTTTATTAGTATAAGGCTGAAGAATTTCAATTTATAAAGGCAGTTAAAAAAACTGTTAATACTTCCATGAACCATTGAGCAAGGCATATTACTAGATAGATGCTATTAGGAATGCTTTCAAAAGGCATCAACAGCACAGATACAGTGGATATCATTCACAGAACAATGTTTTCAACCAGGATGTAAACATTTTTATTTCTGCATTGATCAACAACCGCTGATCAATGACCATGAGTTCCATTCACTGAGAGTTGGGGAATGGCTGCAATGACAGCATTGTAACATGGTGAAAGATGTACCCTTAGGCCCCCTCCTGCGTAACTGTCTCCCTTTATAAGAACATTTTTCTGACACACTACTTAGCAGTGGCATGCAGTGACTTTTATAGAAAGGAAAGCAGCTGATAAGCAATTAAAAGTCTTGAGTAGATGCTCACAGTCTCTAGTGAAATTGAAATAAGCCCAGTTTTCAGTGAAAATATCAAACTGCAGCCACAAGATGGCAGTAATGTAAAAGAAACATGTTGTTGCAGAATTTCTGAAATACAAATCTGAAATAAAAATCAGTGATTATTCTTTACAAGTGAAAGTCTAAGCTAATTATTCACATATGTGTGTCTCGTACCGAGCTTCAAGCATCTGGAAAGTATTGTCAATTTTTTAAAATACCATCATTGATGCAGTTGTCTTCTTTGAAAAAGAAAAAGGAGTACATTCTGTTAAAATTATGGTCCCCAGCTATAATATACTGGGCAACATGGCGGCATGGCGGTTGGCACTGTTGCCTCACAGCAAGAAAGACCTGAGTTCAATTCCACCATCAGCCTCTTTCTGTGTGAAGTTTGCATGTTCTTCCTGTGTTTGCGTGGGTTCTCCCTGGGTACTCTGGCTTCCTCCCACAGTCCAAAGACATGCAGCTAATGGGGTTAGGTTTGTTGGAAACGCTAAAATTGCCTATAGGTGTGAATGGTTGTCTCAGTCTATGTATTAGACTAGCGACCTGTCCATGGTCAACCCTGCCTATTGCCCCAAGACAGCTGGGATAGGCTCTAGCGGGCCCCCCGACCCTGAAGTTAGATGGATATAAGATGCTGTCATCCTTACATTTAGAAGAAGTGTATGACTAGGAGCAGTCCGGTTGTGCTGCATGGATGTTGTGTTTAGAATCTCTCCACCACACTCCTCTTTTAGAGGCAGAAACGTGCTACTTGCAACGTGAATCTCATGTGGTTATTTGGTGGTTCAGAAAAAAATTCAAGTGACGAGAAACCTGCAGACATGACAACCTGAAAGTGACACGATGAACAGTCAGTGTAGTGCAGCAGCTATCTGCCATCATTCAAATCAACTTGAAGTATTCTTTGCTGCTCTGTACTTTACCATGATTCTTATTTTCTTTCTTTCCTGTAAAAAGAAAAAAATCACAAGATATGCTCATAAAACTTGCAGCAACAGCAAATTTGATTTAGTTATGAGAGTTTTACCAGAATGAGAGTAGAGACTTGTAACACAGTTGTCTGTGGTTATCTTGTGGCGTGAGAAAAAGAAACCAAGAGAAAGAGGCAGATGATGTCTATGATACTGTAGTTCACTATGATGCATGCAGAGCAACACTTTTGAAAGAACAGTTTATTATCACACATCTGGATCTATACTGTTCCTCTACAGACTTCTTCTTTAGACTAATTAGTCAGTAATGACATTATGATATTGAAGATCTCATCTTTAACTGTAAGTTTCTCAACACCAATGTATACTACACCATACTACACTAAAGTAATTAAGTAATAAGTAAACAATTAAATGACGTAAAAGTTCAGTACCGTAAAATTATATATAAGAATTCCAGCTTCTCATGTTCCTTTTTACCCACGTTGCTGTCATTCGGTATCTTTACGTCTATCACTATGGCCATCTTCCTCTCCTTGTCCACCACTACTATGTCCATTCACTTAGCCATCACCAGTTTGTCCATCTATATCTCAAAGTCCCACAGGATCTTAGTTCGGTCAGTCTTGGTCATTCTCGACCACCCCCCTATAGGGAGGTCCATTTTGACCTCGGGACTTCCAGACCATTTTCCAGGCCACAGATGTTTCTGTACACTATGCCGGCCACTTGGTTATGGGGTTACATGTATATCCTGCCTGCTAGCATCTTACACCCTGCTGTTATGTGCTGGATTGTCTCAGGGGTACCTTTACACAGCCTGCACCTGGGGTCTTGCCTACCCCAGCCTCTATGGATCTTGTACTTACAGCTTGTTCCTGTGCTGCCATGATTAGTGCCTCTGTGCTGTCTTTCAGTCCGGCTTTGCCCAGCAACTGGTAGGATTTCTGGATGTCAGCCACTTCCTCTATCTGATGGTGGTACATACTGCACAGGGGACTAACCTTTTGTGATGGTTCCTCCTCTTTCTTGGGTTTCTGCTGCCTGTGGTATTCACTGAGCATGTGGCCTGATATATTTGTGCGTGTTCGTTGTGTCGTCCTGGACTGTGGTGCTGACACTCACTAGGCCTCCTTCCTTCCGCTTAGCATAGAGCCTCAGGGTGCTGGACTTGGGGTGAAACCCTCCATACACAGTTCGGAGCGTCCTTGTCTTGATGTCAGTGGCTTCCATCTCTTCAGTTAGCCAGTTTATTATTCCAGCAGGGCGTTGGTGTTGATAGTCCGGATCTAGTTCTTACCATTCATATGACTCTTCAGGACGTGCCTAACCCTCTGCAGGTACTCAGTAGTTGCAGCTTTCCTACCGGCTTCTTTGTGTCTTCTATTTGCCTGTGGAATTCCCAGATACTTGTAGCTGTCCTCAGCGTCTGGAATGTTATCTTCTGGTAGTTCACTCCCCTCAGTTCTGACCACTTTTCCTGTCTTCATTACCATCTGACTACACTTCTCCAGTACGAATGGCATTCCAACGTTGTTGCTGCATATCTTGATGGTGTGGATCAGGGGATCAATGTCCCCTAAGCTCTCTCCTGTGTATATATTGCGTCAGTCTCCCTTTGTCCTTTATGGATCATCAGCTCACCTTCCCTCAGTGTTTTCGAGCTTCTTGTGCCTCCTAATGTTTTGCTTAGTGTAGTTCTTTAAAGTTTTAGTTTTATTGTAATTTTTTTTGTCTGGATTACCAGCCTGATAAATGGTGCCTTTTATTATAGTATTATTGTCTCCCATTGTCCGCATTTGGGTCCTCGACCTACACTTGGTCTGCTCATCCCACAGACCCTGACAGTTACTGGGTTTTTCTTTTGTGGTGTAAAAAAATAAAAAAACATGATGACAGAAGTTTTCATTTCTGACAGCATGCATGAAAACTGCCCTTTTTGAAGTACTAACAAGTTTTCTTGCATTTTGCAGGACATTTGTGAAACATGAAGTTCATTATTACACATTTTTCAACTGAACAATTCAAGCACTGCTACTTTTCTTCTAATTTCTTCTGTATAATATGCCCGAACACAGAGAGTGAACACTGACCGATATACCAGCTGTGGTGTCTCTGTTTTGATGCTGAAGTTATTTCAGACAATAAAACCATCACTGGTTACAAACTCTTTTTTTTTTAGTGAGCAGGCAGTGACTTGATGGTGGACTCAAAGTCACCCGTGTGGTTATCAGTGAAGTGCAGTGTTGTACAGTGATGAGCTGGGATGTTTTCATCCATACAGTCAAGGTTCAGCTGAGGAGGCAAGACAGTTATTCTAATTTTACATTGAACTGCTTCAAACCTTTGGCTGATTCTTCTACAGACCATCAAAGTGCCTTGAAAACTATTCACCCACTTCTTGATTTTTTTTTATATCTTACACTTAAAATGATCAGATCATCAAATACATTTTATTGTTAGACAAAGATAAGTAAATGCAAAATACATTTTCAATTGATGATTTTAGTTATTAAAGGAAGAAAGCTATCAAAACCTAATCTTGCCTCCCCTATTTTAGTAGCCTGAAAACAGAACAGAGCTAGAGTCTAAAGATAGAGGCTTGCGTGGCTTCTGTAGCCTCAACCAATTAAATGCAGTGAACTGTGCACTCATCCACATCCTGTGTGTTGACGTGTCGTGGTGGGTCCCCTCAGTAGCTGGAGACTTGCTACAGTGGTGCCAAACATACCATACCAGCTTTATTTATGAAGCACTTTGACATAAAACCAGGGTTCACAAAGTTCTGTACATATACCAATAGCATAAACACAATAAAACAAAATAACACAAAATAAGATAAAATAAATAAATGAATAAAATAAAAATAAAACAAAACATGTTGAAACAAGTTGATAAAACAAGTTGAGTCAACCCCTCAAAGAGTGCCAAAGGCTTCAGCAGATAAATATGTTATAATAAGAGTTTTAAACTGAGAAAGAAGAGGCCTGCCTAACGTACAAGGGCAGATCATTCCACAACTTTGGAGCGGCTACAGCAAACCCACGGTCATTCAGAGATTTAAAAACAAAAAAATTCACCAAGTTTCACAGAGAAAGTTCGCTGTGCCAAATAGGATGTGAACCACTGCAGTGTGGTACTCCTAACACCCGCCGACTGCTGTAAATTAAACTCTTATGATCCACTCTATCAAAGGCAGCAGTTAAATGTAAAAGCACGATAATAACAGTCACCTGAGTCAGTCACTAAAAACACATCATTAAAAACTCTTAGAAGGGCAGATTCTGTACTATCCAAAACTTTAAAACCAGATTGAAAAACTTCTAAAATACTGTGTTCTTCTAAAAAGGACATTAATTGCTTGTAATCTGTTTTTCATTAATGTTTGAGATCAAAGGCAGTTTGGAGATTAAGCCTGTAATTTGCAGTAATATCAGGATCAAGAGCAGGTTTCTTGAGTAGAGGCTGAATCAATGCATGTTTACGACTGACAAATACAACACCAGAGGGAAAACCACTATTTACAATGGATTGCACAAATGGTGCTGTAGTGAGGAAAACCTCTTTGAAAAATCAAGGAGGGAGAGCATCATAAGGGGAACCTGAGAGCTTCAGGTGAGAGACCAACTCCTGCAGGCAAAGCAAAGAAACTGGTGCAAACCTGTCAAAGTCAACAGAGATATGGACAGGGATAGAAGGGTCGAGAACAGAATAGGAAATCTGCGCTTTCACCGATGATTTTCACAAATTTCCTGAGAGGACTCGACACCAACAGTCTGTGGAGCATGAAGGACCACGTCAGTGGTTTTTAAATAAGGCGTAATGCTTACAGGAGTTTGCCTGAATAACAGCAGCAAAACGTTTTCTCTTAGCATCTTTAAAAGTTTTCTGATATGAATTCCAGTAATACTGTAATATTTGGTATGACACCTGAAGCTGATTCTTCTTCCATCTACGTTCAGCTCTCCTAAACCTTCCTCTGGCAGCAAGGAAGGAAGGGAAACCTCAAACAAGACAGGCTTATGATCCTACCATACAACATCACAAAACCTTTAAGTTAGAGGTGAAGCATGAGTCAAATCAAGATCCAACGTGTGCCCACATTTTTGTGTAGGCACAGACACAGGTTGCACAAAATCAAAAGAATAAATAGGATTTAAAAACGTCCATCACAGTACATCAAGCAGAATCCACAACACATACAGCTGGTCGAGGTGCTAGTGCAGATGGTGGCAGACCTGGTGATGATGCAGTGTTAGCAGGTGGTGGTGCATCAGCAGAGACACTGCAGGAGGAGACTGCGTGCCAGGGGCAGGTCTTGGAAAACCTCCTTGCTTGGCCTGGGTCTTGGCCTGCACCGCCGCTGCTGGATGAGAGTGTATGACTGAGTGTATGAGAGAGGGGGGTGATCTCCAGTCTTTTTTTAGTCTTTTTAAGCCATGGTCGAGGCGTGCTGGTGGCCTATGACTGAATGGATCATACGGCTGCTGCTCGTCTTATTGGGAGAGTTACAGACAGCATGCTCAGCCTGCTGCAAGAATCACAGGGAAGTTTTGGGCAAGCTATGGTGGAGTCACGCTCTACAAAGATGCCACAAATCCTGGTTTGATCAGGGTCACTGCTGGAGGCAGAGTGGGTGGAGATAAGGTGTCTAGATGGGGACAGCCACAAAATATTTTCTTCATTTGTGGATAATGGCTCTTACTGTGGTTCGCTGGAGTCCGAAGCCTTTGAAATATCTTATGTAAACCTTTCTAGACTGACTGATAGATGTTAATGACATATCTTCTCAGCTGTTCTTGAGTTTCGTTGAACCATCACATGATGCTGCTTTTTGGGACTTTTTAGCCTGCTTCAGGTTCTATTTAAGAGATTTGACAGTATTCAGGCCTGAGTGTGGTTAGTGAAATTGGACTCACAGAAAAGACTCACTTAGGGGTTATACTGGGTCAGAAGTTGTCCACAGTGGGCATGGTCAGGGGGCTCAAATGGAGGAATGGTGGAATAGAGATGATCCATTTCATCCTCTGAAGAATTAAGTCTGGGGTAGTGACGACCCTGCTCTGCTGGTTGGGGTGAGATTTCATCATACTGGGAACCAAAAAAAAGAGAGAAATAACAATTTGAGACGTTATTATTGTTGAACTTACTGCTGATCTTTCAGTGCAGAGCTCAGCTGGAGAGAGGATTAACACAAAGTAGACTCACTCATAGCTCTTATATAGTAGCTCAGCTGTATGAGGTGGTATGTTAATAAAATGTTTAAAATCATTTACATGGAAATTTTTACAGATTTTTGACCTCCACCGTGAAGTACAGGACGTGGAATATTTGGTACAAAATATAACTGTCAGCAGAACAAAATCACTGCCTACTAAAACAAGAGAAGAAAACCAGAAATCAACAATTCTCTGATTTTAATGATTTGGACATTATTTTAAAATGAAGCCGCTCTCCTAGCTGGTGTGAAAGAAGCATGATAGATGATGCTGATGTTTTATGTTATAGTACAGTTTTATATATATGTATACATATATGTTATTCTTTACCAGGTGCGAGTCATCCAGAGTTTCATGTCTTGAAGGTTTGTGAGAATTACTCTTTTTTCTGGTTTGTAAAAAGAAAGTGAATACAAAGATGAACACGTGGTTAGTCTGAGAATTTGAGACTGAATCTGATTGAACCGAGAGAGAAAACAGGGCTCATCCTCACCTCCTCCAGCAGTAGACAGTGAGAAGTACCAAAACCAGCAGAGCTGCAGAAACTCCTGCAGCTGCTGGTGTCCATGTTCCTGTGATACTTTGGACAGTGAGAGTCTTTGGAGCAGAGCTGATATCTTTGTTGGTTTTCA